CAGGTTGATATTCTCAATCAAGTTGATTGGAATACCTGGCTCTACTCTCCTGGACTGCCTCCTGTAAAACCCAAGTCAGTACTTACCCTGCTAATGATTCCTTTCTCATTCTCCTAAATCCCAGCGCTCCTCAAAATATCTGAAAAGGTTTTATGCCTTCCTTAAGCTGTTAGTAGTTAGTGAGGAGAAGAGATCTCAGGTATCCTGAGGTCAAAAGGATAATATGATATTATAAATATAAATTCAATTTGCTGCAAGTAATAATTGAGTGCCTCCTTTCTGCACAAGGATGGTGAGAGATAAAGAGAAGAGTAAGATATTGCCCTTTCCTTGAAAACCTTTGCAATAAGAGAAATAACATAAGTATTATGTTAATCATTGTATGTTAATCTTTGTAACAGTTTTATAATTTATCATCCCCATTTCCAAAGGAGGCAAATGAGGCTTAGCTAGGTAAAGTGTCTTGCCAAGGTTACACAGCAAGTAGGAATAAGAGTTGAGATTCAAACCCTGGTTGTCTTAACCACTCCACTATAGTGCCTTTTAAACTAAACGCCTTCCTCAATCAGGGACCGGAACCTTGGTCTTCCACAAGTCATGTGAGGATGCAAACTGCGTGTCCCAGCCAGGCGTGCTGTTCCTCCCATCTGGAATACCCTTTACCCAGCTAATTCCAATCTCAATTCCAGATGCGCTCCCTCGGGGATGCATTCCTTGACCCCTGTAACCAGGTCAAGTCTCCCATTTAGGGTTTCTCAGTGCTCTGTATTGCCTCTTCATAGCTGTTGCCACAGTAGTAATTTTACATTTATTTGTGTGATTATTAGCATCTTTCTCCTTTACTACATTGAAGCACCATGAAAGCAGGGCTCATATCTGGTTTTGCCCGTTACTTTTCTTAGGACCTTGCCATAACTAAGGGTTGCTTTCTCCCTTAGTTCTTTTCCTTACAATGAGCAGGAAGTTTCAGGGAACCAAGAAACAGATCATCCAAAGTTTTTTACTGTACTGTCATTCCTTTTGAAATCAGTGCTAAGAAATATTCTAGTTGAAGATGATTTACTGCCTGAGCAATCCAGGACCTCTGGTCCCACTTGGTCTTAAGTACAAACAAAGGGTTTGCCACAGCCTGATGACTTTATGAAGATAAACTGGTAATTGACTCAAAGAAGGTCACTGCTTTCACCCCATTATTCTTTCCCCTAGGGCGCAAACTCTCTTGCAGTAGGTTCAATGGCAACTTCTAATCAAAACTTACTTCATTTAGGCCATAAGGCCAGATACCCCTCTATTCTCTAATAGAAA